ATTATTTCCATTTTCACGGTCATGTGAACAAGCAGAGTAACAAAGTATTATCATATAATTAATGACTGTATACGGGGTTTGGATTGCTAACTGGATTTATTGGACTGTTACAAACCGTGGCCACAATTAATTATAGCACTGTCGTTAATTCACACGCTTTACAATTCACTATAGCACCCACTAGACCTTTTTAGTGCGCCGTATCTTGACTAGGCGTTTCTTGGTAACGGCCCCTAACAATAGCCATTCTTCTGCTTCCGTACTCAAGTACCTTCTGAATAGCGACTCCCTTCTAACTACGTATTCTTGCCCTATTTGCCCTCCTTATAACTCCTGGGCAAGGACCAACGCAGAAAGTCCCCTTTCTAACAGTTCCTCTATTATTGCGCGCGGACTGTTGCCGCGGGAAGCTGTTTGTTTACGACCGTTGCCTAGAAACGCCTCTACACGCTACAGTAGCATTCACTCTGCTTTCTACTTGCTTGTCGGAGCCTGTGACTTTGCGACACTTTGGCATGTGGAGATAATATTAAAATGAACCTTAAAGAAATACGAATATGAAGATATAGATTAGAGCCATCTGACCCATGATGGCGGCCATTTCAGTGGTTTCGTGTTGTTCCGGATAATAACAATATCCGGGCTCTTGTGAATACGGTAATGAAGCTCCGGATTCCATAAAAGGGTAAATTTATTGACTAGCGCAGCTCATCAGGAAGGATCATTCTTCACAGAGATTGTTACTTGCGTAAATAAATATTTTATAAGTCACTTAAATCAAACGCACATCACTTCTTTAGTTGAAAAAGCCTTTAAAAGTTATAATGTATGTATTAAGAGATTGTATTAAATGTTATTTTCAGTTCAGAAATGCACGGATAACAGATATTATAGAGCACAGGAGAGTTATCTCGTTCGTAGAATGGAATGTGTTAACTGACTGACACATAAATAGGGGGAACATTTTTCCCAGAAGCCAGACAAGCCCCTGCACCTAATTCCGAGTCTTTTGCACATCCCAACGAGAGAGGAGACGCAACAGTGGGCTTCTAGCTCCAAACAAAAAGACAATCTTCGTTACAAAAGGTTTCCTCATGTTTCGCCCCTTTCCTTCCTCCTTGCAGATTATTAACTACTGTTAATAAAGGGGTGGGGGTTGTTGGGGAATAGCGTATTAAATAATGCATTCCTCTTCTAGGGCAGGGAAAATTTCCCCCCAAAATGCATCTCCTATGTTATCATGGCTGTATTCTCATGTGTTACAAAAAGACAGGTTTTTAAGCTTCTGCATCATTATACATTAAACACGTTCTTCGTCTGGCACTAAATAAAGGAAAGAGGGTTGTGAAGGAATTGAGTAAAAAGTGGAGATGTAGGAAAAATATGGGTTATATTTAAGTTATATGCAAGAATACTGGTTATACTTCTTAATAAAACCTGCAAATTCATTTAAAATGAACTAATATTTCACTATGATTCGAAAATACTCAATATATCAAATGAAAATTTAGGAGAGAAACGGAAGTTATGGGTAGAACCACTCGCATAGTAAAGTAAATCTATCCCTGTAACAGGCCGTGGAGGTCCATAGGGTTGTGAGACGTTGAGGCTCCCACATTTTCTCTAGACAGTCGACTCAAAGATGGCGGTAAGGTTGTCAGACTTACGCGCCGGCCGCGCTTTACCCCCCAGGAAGATTCCTGGTACTCATTTCTGTTAGAGGCTGAGTCGACCCCAGGGCCATAATGCGGCTGGAAGGATTAGGTCAATTGATAAAAATCCAATGACCTCATCGGGACTTGAACCCGCGATCTTCCGGCTTGTAGCATAGTGCCTCAACCAGCTACGCTTTCCCTTGCTACGACACGGACCTCATAGAAAGGGCACGTCCAATATTCTTTCTATTGTTGCTTATGTATTCGTTGCCGCAGTAACTTTATTACCGAGCCGTTGCTTAGCAATAATATGGGAATACACATGCAGGAACACAAACTGCTGCCAAGTTTCATAAAGATAAGTTCAGGTACTCCAAAGTTAATTCACAGACAGACGGATAGGCCGGTGATCTTTTTATTTTCTTCGGAACAAGGAAAGTGTGCCAATAATATCGAAATCGAATTCACGAAGAAGTTAATACCAGATTTGAATCTGAAGAATGCTTCTTACTCTTCAATTCAGGATCTTGTCTTCCCTTCTGTTGTGTCTTAACGTAAACACTAAAGTGAGGAGAACTGTAATTTTGCTTGTAGTTTTGTATGTGCGAAACTTGGTCTCTTGCAATAAGGAAGAACACAAACTGAAAGGGTTTCAGGATAGGGTCCTGAAGGGAATTTTTGGACCTCAAAGAGAGAAAGAGAGAGAGAGTAGGTAAGACGAGATGAGAGATATAATTCCCAGGACATTCATATTTACACTCTCCGCCAGGTATCATTATAATGTTCAAATCAAGGAGGGTGAGACGGGCGTGACATGCAGCACGCACGGTAGCTATGAAAAGTACTGAAAATTTTCTGGTCAAAAGGAAGTGGATTTAAATAAACAGACATTGGACCTCCAAGATCAAAATGGACATCTAGTCTAAGAACTGGCCACGACTCAATCCTTGAATCGGAAGAAGAAATAGTTTGGGAGATTGTGGACTGGATTCAGCTGGCTAAGAAGAGGGATATTTGGTGAACTGTTATGAAATGGTAACGGCTTTTCGGGTGCAAAAAATGACATCATTTTTTGATTAGCTGAACAACGGTTGGCTTTTTAAAACGGAATCTAACCCATGAACTTTGTAAGAAAGTAAGTAAGTTACTTACTTAGTTAGTTAGTTAGTTAGTTAGTTAGTTAGTTAGTTAGTTAGAAGGAGAAAAGAATTCTCTGTCACTATACCAGTTCTTGCGTAATGCAGAATTGTCCTTATGCACACGGCACAATAAATTAACTCGTAATGAGGAGGTCTGAGAGTAAACAAAGCAAAGAAAAACAACAGAAGCAGGCGACAAGCTTAGCCATTTGGCCTTTTGGTGGTGCTAGTTTATTGGTTGAAGATGTAGGCAATGTGTTCCTCCGAAACTCCTGGCTGTATCCGAACTTCATGCCGTTCATCCCACAGATCATATTCCTTTTTATATTAAATTTTAAATGACACCAGCACCACCATTTTACTTTAAGTCAGTAGAACAGTAAGATAACTGTAACACAGAAGTAACTGCCCCTTCGGGTTACCCTATACGAGTAGGTTTGCCACTTGTAAGCTGAGTCCTGTGCAACACAGACACGTGGCCATTGTCAAGTGCCTTCCAGCGAAAATTTTCTGAAAATATTTGCACGATGTGTACTGCTGATGTTGCTGCTACTGTCATCATCATCATCATCATCATCATTATTGCCGCCGTCGTCGTACCGAGCGGGCTAGAGCAGTGGTATCTTTTTGGACTTGTATCCGGGAGGTGCTCGTTTCAATTTCCGGCCAAGAAGGCGTCTATCCTGACAGAAGATTTCAGTAGTGTTTGTCAGTTTTTCCAGAAAAGTTCCGGGATAGTGCCTCCATATGGTTACTGGCGCGTTCTTCCAAGTCCTTTTCAACTCACCCTTCATCAGTTGTACCAATATTCGATCCTATAGATTCTAGTTAGTGACAGCGTGTTAAAATATGCCGTTGAAATCAACGTTTCCTTCATTATCGCGTTGTTACCGGTACAGTAAAGAAATGCATTTTGTAGATATTTTTGTATCAAACCTTAATTTCGTATGCGCACTATGAACGGGCAATTTTAACTTTGAAGAATGCCGTATTCTGGAATATAGCGTCATGTAGATCTTGTGTGAACCGACGTTTCGGAGGAAGGTATCGCCTCCATCTCACGCTGGTTCATCGCTCACTGATTTTTCACAGCCGTGAAAATCTCAAACGTTAATATAATTTTAACTTTACTTACAAATTTGTTTTAAATCCATCTTCGCAAAAATAATACAAAGCTTTCTTGTACTACTATATAAAAATTATTTGGATCACATCAATATTATAACGTATTATTTAATAATATCACCATTATGTCTACAAAATTTTCAGCATTACTTGCATCGTCTTGTAATCACCATTTTGTTCCAGAATTCACGTCCATTTATAAATATAAGGACTTCACGAATAATAGAATATTATGCTATTAAAATATCAGTTTAATTTTAATGTAAGTAAACTAACCAATTTTGATTTTTATATGGATTACTCCTTCTATGTACATCGTCATAACTTGTATAGTATTTATGAAATGTATATACTATAATTCGAAGAAGTTCATGGAGGTAGGCCTAGGCCCACTGGGGCTGTAGTGCCAAGGGGGGAAGAAAAAGTACTATACTTAATTTTGACAATAATGTTAATTGAAAATAAAATCGAAATAGATTCATTAACCCTTTCCTATGGCATCGGAAGAGTGAAATTTGACAAAACCAGAGCGAATCATTGAGAAGGGTGGTATATCAGTAGCAATTTCGACTTGCTCTTAGGGAGGAACACTGTTCAGGTCTCGGTAGTCACCGGCTATCTTAGTAAGGCTTTACATGATTTTCCTTTATTATTAATATTATCATAGATATATCAAGTACTTTTTTCATTCGGGATTCCGGCCTGCAAATTTATTGGCATTTCTCATTTTCCCACTACACAAATGTCCTTGCAACTCCCTTGATTTAATAGCCCTAAAATATTAGGTGTGTAGTAGGGTTAAAAAGTTAAGGTTGTCTCTTCACCTCGAATTAAAGACGTACGGGAATTTCAGCCATAGTTCCACGTACACTTTACCTCTGTTGGAGGTGTTTGGTCATCTTCATGTCTCGGCCGCTTTACTGCCAGGGATTAACCTCCGGTTCCCATTACCTCAGTACCTGTCTGGATACTGGACACTGGCTGGAGTCGAACCCACCCCCTTGTCTAGCCACCGTACCGATTTAAGTGAGAAGTTATCTTTAGACTTCGAAAATAAAATAACTCTTGTTCAAGAACTCACCTCTGCCACTTCTACCGACGAACCTGAGGTCATTAAACTTGGCCACCTGGTTCTTCATGACCGCCGTGCAGTTGCGAAGCTCGGCGCAGTAGTTCTCGTCGTTGCCGGCCCGTACAGTGACCAGGGTGCCGTCCAGCACGTCCCCCAGAGCCACCACTTTGAATGCGACGGGAAGAGTCTTGTTAGATCTCCAGTGCGGCGGGAGGACCGTGCATACGAGATGAGGACTTCCTGTCCGGACAAGTTCACCAGGATGTTCCGACAGAAGCCCGTCCAGTGTCCTCTCAGCCAGAACATCTGCAGTTATTGCGCTGTAGCCGCCTCCACCGCCGTCACTTGCTGCCGCCCCCGCTGTCGGTGTGCCCACCTCAGAAGACAAGTGCATCACTCTACTTCAAAAATTACCACAAGACAGTTATAACTTGTCTTCACTTCTGAGAACTCTTAACGTGTCGTCTTTTCCGAGCACCGGACACTTTTACCTGTAACGTCAACTCGAAACTAAGTTTACAACTCCACATGTCTGCTTCCGTTTATTCTGAGTCGATTATGGCCTACATTGAAGAAGTCTGTCGTCCTTTATGTTCACTTCTATTTTCTTTTTGGACCGAACTTGTTACCTTCCACAATTCGATTTCTTTTGTTTTCTTACTCGGTCTGCCACAACGCACACTTACACCTCTCTTTCTGAACACTAAGTTACACACGCGCTCTTTGCAGACTTCTTCTGTTTGTCTGTTAGCAACGTCCCCAATAAAATCAAGGAGTTTCCCGTCACACCAAACTCGACCTCAGTGAAGTCACAGCGGAGTCACAGACGTGGAAACAAAAAGTAATTCGATTGTCTTCCCTGTTAGTCTTCCTCAAAGATTCGTTTCCTTTCACAGAGTCAAGCTATGAGAAAAAAAAATTGTCCGACTCAGTTTTGTTCTCTTGCGTCTTAAATTATCACTCTTTCATCACTGCGAAAATTACGAACCTAATTATTAAATCATAAAATATAATTAAAAATGTATTCACAATGCAACACTGAAATTTTAAGTCCATTAATATTTTATTTATCTATTTAAATATATCGTCTTGAGGTTCACTTCAGCCTCTGTGTTAAATATGTCTGTTTAATTGCAATATTCATTTTAAGTTTTAATGTTTCAGTGTTGTACACAAGAAAGCACAGAATCTTGTCACATTGCTTGCTGCGGCCGCCGCAAGGGGGCGCTCTTGCTGCCGCCGCCCGCCTCCTTTTTGCGGCACGGAGTTGGTCTGCGTTTTTACTCCTTGCAACCAGCTCTATGGTTGCCGGCGGTTGCGATGCGATGACTTTTCGCGGGCATCCATCACACCGCATTCGCCAATTAGACGCGGGAAGAGAGAGATGAGGGAGGTTAGAAGAGGAAGTTGGAAGGTTGGCGGGGGTAGTTAAAACACCCCCCTTTTTCCTCTTGCCCTGTGCGCCTGTCTAGCCATCTAGCGGTTCCTGTGCGTCCCTTTTGGGTGTTCTTCGGGCCTTCCTCCACCCCCTACACATACACACTTCCCGCAACCACTGCTGCCGCCGCGATGGTGGGTAACATTGACGTCACAACTTTCCTGCCCACCCCTCAGCTCCTCAACGACCCCCTTCGATGTTGAACCACTTACAGTTTTTCTCTTCTGAGAAGCATTTTCTCGCGACAGGTGGCAATGATGGCCATCACACGTTAAAAGAGAACCAGTCGCTTTGTGCGTCGATTCTGTTTCACAGTTCTCTGTCACACCGTCTGTAGAAGTCTTGTAATTTCACGGAAAGGATTGGACTCTGCTAACGTGTGTCAGATTTGTAGATCAAAGAATAAAATGCATGTCACGTCACCCTTCCACACGCGGGAGGGGGTGGGCCTGTGTAGCGGTGACCCTGGTAAAGGTAGTGGTTGTAGTGGTGGTTAGCAAAAATAATAATAAAAAAAATGTGAATTTCAACTGGTTCCGTTTCCGTCCGCGCCGCGGCGCTGCTTGTGTGGCCGTTACTAGCTACCTAGCAACCCCCCCTCCGACCCCTTTACACCGCCACTGTCGGTCTGTAAATCACTCGCGAGAACGGGACCCGTCTGCAAATTCCCACATTCCCACCCGAAATGTTCAGTCGGTATTCTCTGCCGATTGCAAGTCCTCCAACTCTCGAGTGACGACGTCAACTGAAGATACAAGCGGTCCGCGCGAGTTATCCCAAGAAAAGTTTTTTCCTTCCTTCTTTAGTTAACCGAGAAGAGAGACTGAGCACGTTGGGTACGTGCGTACGCAAAGCCGAAGGGTGAAAATAAAGAAGGCGAAGAAGAAGAAGAAGAAGAAGAGGCGGCTGTTCTTGGGGGCTGCCACTGCTGGGGGTTTTTGAGGATGGGCGTATCTCGACGTCGGTTTTGAGGGCGGAGTTGAGTTGTCAGGGAAAACTCTCTTTCTCTCTCTTTCCCGCGTCTTCTTCTACTTCTTCTACACGCGGTAACGTAAGACGCTCCCCCCTCCCCAAGTTCTCTGGACGGGAGGGGTGAGGGGGTGTGGCTGCGGCAGACGACCACGACCAAGGAAACGAAAGAAGCAAGCAGCAAGTAGGCAACTCTCCACTCCTCCTTACATCCCCCTCCCCCACACACAGAGCCCAGCGGGAGAAGGAAAGGCGAAAAAAGGACATGTTGAAGGTCCTGGGTGACGGCGGCGTCGGTAGTGGTGTTGAGGATCACGATAGTGGCGACCGTGGTGGAGGTAGAAAAGAGAGAGGAAAAAACTTTTCGTACTTTTGCGCATGTCAAGACTTTGAAAGTACTTTACTCTTTCTTTCTTTCTTTCTCCTTTGTCTCTCATATTTCCCCACTCTTCACCCCTTTCATCGTGCAACCTTTCAGACGCAGCGCCCTTTTCTTGAGGTGCCGCGACGTGCGGCTCTCTGCCAGGACGGCAGTACAACCCGTCCCAAAATATTCAGCCTCGACCTACTTGCTAAGCAAGACGGCGAGCGAATGATGGTTCGATGCGCGGATAGAGAGAGACAGAAGTATAGGACTGCGACGCTGCGAGATTGCTTCCACTCGAAATAGTCTCGTTTCGTATGGCTACGAATATCGTTCAAACCGTCGCTTTTATTTCCCTTAATGCAACTATTATTGTGTGACTATTGCACTAAACCATCTCTCCATTGTAAGTTCAACAACATATTCCTCAGTAGATGGACCAATGGGCTTCGCGTTATTCTGAAAATGCTTTTCATATTTTCTTCTGCCCATCTATGCTTTTCCAGGATGTAAATCCGCCAACGATAACGAATTATTTTTTCCTATGAATCGGGAAAGAAATTAAGTTAAAATCAAACAAAGATATACATCGAAATATCACATATTAATAAAAAAGAATCTATTTCAGCTGCATGAAATTTAGAAATTTTACTATAATATCATTCGGGAAAATCCTGCTTTGTACTTAGGGCGGTATATCTGATATGCTGTGTGAGTTTGTGTTGGTTTCCTCAGCTTCTCAAGAATAATGCTGCGAAATTCTCTTGAAGTTGTTCACAATGACCTCCATACAAATTCTTACCTTCTCACCTTGATATCTTCCTTGGTTACCTTTGAAATTGAAAGAGTGTCGTGAAATAAATTAAGAATTGTTGATAAAATGCAGAACTTAATGTTCACAATTTATTGTCGAGGCTAAATACATTCTTTTGAGGCACTATGCTACAAGAAGGACGACCGCGGGTTCGATTCCCGATGAAGTCATTGGAGTTTTCAATTGACCTAATCCTTCCAGCCTGTTTGTGTGCATTTTTCTGTGTTTGTGTAAAGGTAGAGGCCTTGCGACGAGCTGCTGACCCGCCCAAGGAGTCCTACCGTATGTGGAAGATCTAGAAAAACCGAAGTGAACGGAGTTCATGGAGGTAGGCCTAGGCCCACTGGGGCTGTAGTGCCAAGGAAAAAAAAATCCTTCCAGTCTCTAACAGAAATGAATACCTGGAATCTTACTGGGGATAAAGGTCAGCCGGCGCTAAAGGCTGACAACATTACCGCCATCTGTGAGCCGACTGTCTAGAAAATGTGAAAGCCTCGACGTCTCACAAACCTATGGGCCTCCACGGCCTGTAACAGAGTTAGTTTTACTTTTACCTAATTACTTTCCTAATATGGGACCTCTGCCCTCCTGTGTGTTTATGCACAAAGAGCATGAAATGAACGCACAATGGAGTTGTGTTTCTTTTCTCTGAAGGTGATCGCGGAATTGGGTGAAATTTAGTATTGGGTTTTTAAACTTCAAGAAGGCTTGTGGAAGATATGTTTAGGCGTACTCCAGGGAAATGAAAATATTAATTCTCTTATTTTTAACTTAGCAAGTGTCTTAAATTTTTTAATGAACCACATGTCTTGTCATTTATTAAGAATTTATGAGTGTATGGATTTATAGATATATAAATAATATATTTCATGAATATATTCATGGAGTCATGCAAGTATGGAAAGACAACTGGTTGAATGGATGGGTAGAGCATATTTTCATTGTTCTTAATTAAGCATTTTGTCATGAAGGCGTAGGGGGAGTGGAGGTAAAGCTGCAGCATCTTTAACCTTGGCTCCGGATGGAAGGGTCTGGTGAGCTTCGCGCGCCGGCCACTTTACCCCTGGGGAAAGAGACCCCTGTACATATCGGATAGTAGCCTAGGTGAACCCCACAGTCGGTCTGGACGTTTCGGAGTAGAGTCGAATCTCTTGCCCTGCCTGGATTGAATGAATGGATGGGGTATTGATAAAGTGACCACAACTATCAAAAGTTAAGACATAATATTTTTAGGTAAGGTAATACATTTCCAGTGGAGAAGCAGGGTTTCATCATGAAGTCTTGGGTAGTCGCTTGGCAGAGGTGGGACAGAGAGAGAGTGTGTGTTTGGTGTGGGGGAGGGAAGGAAAGGGTTACAAGATGGAGAGGAGAGAGTCTCTCGTTGTCTTGGAAACAAGAACACCATCTCCCTGGAGATCCTTCCTACTCTTTTCATGTTCTACTTATCCCTAAGGACGAGACCTGTCTCGCAGTCAGCGAGGCGCCTCATAGGGGTCTGCTGGAGGCGTATTAGGAAAGGTGACTCAAATTCTAGAGCTCTCCGATGGTAATATTATCCATGACAGTTCTCACCCTAGCTCCAGAGTTTCTGTGTATCCACAGTCTCTCTAGAGTTTGTTGTATGATGTCTGCTACACTCAACGCATACGGAGAGGTCATTAACCTAAATCAGGCCACGACCACTTCCACATACTACAAGATTCTCTTTTTACTATCATCGGATACTCTCTCATTCTTCGTAGCATGCACTTAGCAGTTGATACAATGTCATAATATTCTGCTTCGTATTTAGAACATCCGGGGAACAAATCTTGACCCCCAGTCCGCCGATCCTGATAGAAATGTTGCATGGTTTCCTTCAGTCCCTTCTGAAAAATGCCGGGTTCTTCCTAAATTCTCTTCAATTCTTAATGCGCTGATCTCTCACTCTCATTCGACCCTGTACACATAATCTGACTTACAGTACGTGTCGTTAAACAAACGGAAATAAGTCAGTATATACACGTATGTGAGTCAGGACAGCGCAGTCGGTATAGCGACTGGCTATGGGCTCGACGGCCGATGGGTCGGACTTCGAGTTTCGATAGCAAGTGGTCCAGACCGGTCCTGGAACTCATCCACGTTCCTACCCAATGGGTACAGAGGCATTTCCCGGAGTAAAGCGTCTAGGGGGCGAGGCTGACCACTCATATCTAACTAGTGCTGAGATCAAGAATATATGGATCTGTACATCCACTTCCCCATGTGTCTTCATGGCACAGTTCTTAATTAGTTACTAGAGGGACATCTATGGCTCTAGAGCCCTTTGTTGGACCTTGGCCGCTTTTTCAGTTTATAAATCTTTTACATGCCGGGCACGGTAGCCGAGCGGTCTGCACCGTCTTCGCTCGTTTGGAAACACGGGATCGTAGGTTCACATCCTACTCAAGGCATGGATGTCTTGATGTTTATACGTGTGTTCGCGTTTTTCTGTCTTTGTCTACAGGTAGAGGCCTTGCGACTAGTTGATCATCGCCTGAGGAGTCCTACCGAATGTCTAAGATTCAGTAAACCGAGTGAAACGGAGAGTTTCCTGGAGGAAGGCCAATGCCTAAATTGGGGCTGTAGAGCCAAAGGAAAAGAAATCTTTTACACAGTCGGTACTACTCCTTGGACGGGGATCAGCCCGTCTCAAGGCCGGTATCTGCAGACAGGACAACACAAACACAGAATAAACGCACAGAGACATCCATTCCTCAAGTGGTTTTCGAAACCACGATCCCAATGTTTGAACGGGCGAAGACAGTTGATGTCTTAGACTGCGCGGCCACAAGCACAGGACAACTTTACCTTATTATCGTCAATTTATTTGTTACTTTCAAAATTTCTCTGGCGTTGCTTTCATGTTATGTGAGTTAATTATATATGATAGCCTCAGGCTCTGAAAATTATCTATGCAGGCACTAGATACTGTTCTTGTTCATACAGAGCAGTGAACACCAACACGCCACGTGATAGCTGTAGTCATAAACCACAAGGATATTGCATGCTATACCTCAGTACAAAGAACTTCCCCCACCCCTCGAATGACTCCATTACGCTGTGACGAGGGCAACACGGACACAGTTAAACTGGGTGTGTAAAACCCACCTCTACTGTCACATCATTAATTTCTGGTTCTTCTGTAAATACTATAGGCGTTAAGAGAAGCTGGTACCTAAATGTTGAAGAGAACGTTTGGACATAATTTGGAATGAATTAACAGGAGGATATACAAGATTAAATAAAAACGGCTTGCACAGTTTTGAATTCTCATCTAATACA